CTCTGACAACGCTGGCTCTTCGGCTTAGTAACGGAGATGAGCACCACCACGTACGGTCGGACACAACTTGACAACCTTGTCAATGGGGAATACCTTTACCTTTACCTTATAGTATATCCTTTGATTATTGCACTCCATAAATAAATATATATACTAACTTATATTCTTTAAGTATTCTGGTCTGGGTAGCTTCTAAGATGAACTTTCTCACCTTTCACCTTGCTTTACACACATTTAAAGAAAGTCCTGCTTTCTAAATTTCACAAGATACTAGAAGGAATTTAGTTTACATAAAGCTATATGGAATACAAACTTGGGGACATGCTGGGACACCTACTCAGTGATCTCTAGGGGTCAGGGACTTGTGTAGACCAGAAAGTTTTGCTCTGTGAGAGAGAAGATGACATTCCTGACATTCGGTACAGAAGCTCCCAGAATTATATGCTGAAATATACTCAGTGCTGGGAGCCTGAAGGCAGAAGGATAGCCTAGGAGGTGCAAGACAAGCAGCATATACAGTTTTGCTTTCCAAGCTAGCTAAATACTTGAGGTTGTGGCTGTCATTGTGGCCACCTCAGGAAGTTGGTTCAGTCTAGGACCTTTTCCTGTGGGAATCTCAGTGATGCTAATATTTAAGTCTGAACTTGAGTCAGGATTGGACTTTCCATTAGGCAAGGTGTGGTGGCCAACCATAATTTGGAACTTTTGTTGTTGTGTGTTTTCTTGGCAAGATTTATTCAGAAGAGGTTTGCCATTGCCTTCCTCTAAGACTGAGAGAGTTTTACTTGCCTATGGTCACCTGGTGGATTTCCATGACCGAGTGGAGAGTCTAATCCTGGTTTCCCAGGACCACGTCCAAAACTCAAACCACCATACCATGCTGGTTTTCTTGGAAATCTATAAGATGTCAATAAAGGACAGAAAATGGTTGATTAATTTTGTGTTTGTCACAATTGCTAAGTGAGTGGGATTTCCTCCCTTAGACACTAAAATTGGCATCCACAGACACTGCTGGAATGTGAACCTTATTTGTTAGTAATTCTGGCCAGCATTGTTCAGACAGTCTTTTAAGTTTCAGAGTTTTGAAAGAATATTGTCTTCCATTTGGATTACTAAGGATTAAATCAAGATTATGGGTGGGGGTGTAAAGAAAGCAGATATTATTTATTTGTTTGTTATATTGTATTTTACTTAGCTGAGATCTGACAATCAAAGGTATGGAACCAACTAGACACAGAGAAGAAAAACCTGTTGCAATTGGCAGGAACTATTGGAACACAGATAGTGGGGGAAAGGGTATTAAGGGAAATGAACAGAGAGGATGAGCAAAAATGTGAAGAGGTAAGATTTGTAAAGCAAAATACTGGAGTAAACTTCACAAGTTTATAATAATAATAATAAATAATAAAATTTTATTTATATCCCGCCTTTAG